AGCCACAGAGCAAGGACAGTATAGTCTGCTGTGATGGTGGCGCTCCAAATCCCGGGAATGGCGCCAACACCGCCACTTTCCGTGTCCCAGTTCTTCCCGGTCAAAAGCATCTCGTGCTTTCTTTTTGCCATACTGCGTTGGGACCCCAGGAGGGAGTAGAGAGGCAGAACTGACTTCATGGTGGGGAAGGGGGCACAGGTTCGGAGCACACCATCTTCCGACCTGGAAAGCCACGAAATCAAAGGGTATTCAAACTAAAACAAGCCTCAGAGGACCTGTAGCCCCACAGCCGAAGAAATCCAGGCCTACAGAGATGTGAGGCGCGCCCGAGGCCTCACCATGGCCAAGGTGCTAGGCTTAGCCCAGACCCCTTCTGCGCACCACTACGCTGCCTGTAACAAGTCGGCTGAGAAAGACGTGCAGAGGAAGCTCTCAACAGGCCTGGTCCAGAGGCTGAGAACTGTACGTTCAAGTCGTGCTACTGTCTTTATGCTTAATTATGGTGCCAGCTATTTCCTAGGCTGTCAAACCCCCAAAGAATAACTGACAGCAAGAGCTATACATGACGAGCCGTCTGTGTAACTGTTTGAGCAGGGCATATACACCGGCAGAACTGATACCCTGATGGCCTCTTAGACAATAAACCCACTTCCCCTGAGCCGTCTACAGGCCAGGGTGCGTCTCAGCAGGGCAGAGGGATGGTATGGGAAATCCTACACCCTATCCTCTCCTTGGCCCGGATTCTCTACATCGGGGTGGGAGGGGGGCATTAAACCTCAACCTTGTTGTAAGCACTGTTCTCTGCTCTGCGGGAGCAACTCCGGCCAAGCGCGAGACTTCCAAGTGCTGTCTTCTGTACCAACAAGGCAACGAGCTAATGTCCAGGAACACGGCCAGGATGGACCAGGAGAGGCTTTCCCCAACCCTTGGGAGTGGGAGACATGGGGAACTTGAGTGGTGCTGGGGAGATGTCAGGAGAGAGGGTGGGATGTGAGAGAAGTCTCTGGAAGGGTAGACAGAGGGAGTGATGGACCCAATCATTCCCGGCGTCTGTAGCGTTACCGCTCAAGTCTTGCAAAAACCGTCAGCCTCTTGATTGAGGAATAACAGCTCGCAGAAAAGCCAGAGTTTTAAAATCGCCCTAGAAAGGTGCACTTGGAGGTGACTTTTGCGACACCCATCTGATGCCCTCCTATTGCGCTTATGTTTGCATCTGGTGTCCAGTGAAGGGGTTCAGAACAGCCCCCCCCCCCAAAACGTGCCACTTTGGCATGTGGATTACTCTGAGCCGAAGGCGCTTGAGATGCTATGGACTCATGAGTAACTTCTGTCCCTCCCTTAACCACACACAAGAATCTAAATTGGGGGTCTTTCCCAGAATCAGGGTTAGTAACAGAGACAAATCTTATCTGGGTGACCCGTCTGTATGGCAGGGCAAACATCGAATTAGCAAACATGTGCTCTTGTCGCCCTGGGAAGTGCATTCGTTTCCTCTGAGGTCCAGACCCCCGCCCCCTTCTCCTTAGCTCAGAGGGACACAGACACCTCATTTTCCCCATCTTTGCAATTTCTGTTGTCTGTGCGGATTCCCTGTATGTACACCTATTAAATTTGATTTTCTCCTGTTAATGTGTCACAGGTCAATTTGATTCTTAGTCCTGTTTGGAAGGACCTTTGAGGAGACAGAAGTCCTTGCTCCCCGACACCGGCACGTGGGACACAGGCTGACCCTCCTACTGTCCTGGCCTCCGCATCCAAGCCCCCTTTGCAGCTTCTCTTTCCCTGCCTGCCACTTAAATACTAGTGATCCCTGCGCTCTGTCCTAGTCTGCATTCTGCTCCCCTTGAACCTGAAACCCACTGACTCTCAGTAAGCCCGTGGGTAGTCTTAGGGGAGATGGTCTACAACCCCCATTAAAACAGCACCGGGTCCCCCTCTCGTGTTTTCTGTTTCAGGGAAGGCCACCACCATGCACCCAGCTGCCCGAGCTGGAAAGTTGGGGGTCATCCTGATTCCTCCCCCCACACTCCCCACATCCGGTCAACGGCCAACCTTAGCCGGTGACACAGTGGAGGGACGCACGGGGGCCTGAGAGCACAGCTTCTGGAGCCACAATGCGCGGGTCCACTCCCTACCCGTGTGTATCTTTTTTGTCACATTTAATTTCTCTGTACCTCATATCTTCAGCTCCAAAATGCAGATAATAATGGCAATATTTTCCTCACTTTTGTGAATAGGGCCCACATAACTGAAAATGTGAAGACCTGATACATATTTAGGTCAAAGCCTGGCCCTTAGTCAGGGCTCTGTGTCTGCTGATGTCACCATCCTTCCTCCTCTGGATCAGCCTCCTAGCTGTCTCTCTCTCGTCCCCTGGGCCACCATTCTGAAAGGCAGTTCTGGTCCTCACACCTCTCGATGGATTCTCGTCATTCTTAAGATCAAGTCCAAAGTGCTTCCAATCACTTGCTGACAAGGTCGCTTTCGCCCTGCCTTCTACTCATTTCTTCGCTCTTTCCCCCAGCACCTGCTGGCCATGCTCTGCCCTCCCGCCAGATACATCCTTTTCGTTTCCTCTCTGACCACACGCTGCCTCTCCGCGGGGCTGTGGCGCTCGCTGTTCTCTCTGCCTATTCTCCGGCCACTGCTTTCTCCATGCCCTGCTTTGTTGTCGCCTGCCCGCCTGCCCGGGGCTGAGACAGACAAACTGAAGGGACCCGGGGGCGGTGGCGGGAGGGGAGCGGGGGGTGGGTTATTGTGCTCCTTTCCCTGCTTCCATTCTCGCCCGGACCTGACCCCCACTTCATTTGCCTTATAGCGCAAATAGCGTATGTCCTCCTGACAATGGAATACAAGGAATGAATGATTTCTCTCGATGACTCTAGAACAGGTAACAGCGAAGGAAGGACCAGGTGAGAATGCCCAGAGAAAGCCATCATATGCATCTCCTGCACTAGACATCTCAACGCCAAGACCCCCTGGCTCCAAGGAAGAACGCCTGGACCCTGGTCTTTGTTCTAACCGGTTCCTGGACGCCTGAGGGGACACATGCACCAGACCAGCAGCCTCAGTAAAAACTCCAGGCCCTGAGCAAAGAGGAGACTCCGTCCTTTCCTGTGTCTCCCAGACACTCTGTCCGCACCTGTACTCTCTCCCTATGCCTTCAGTGAACTCTGCTTTCACCTCCTGCTGGCTTGTGTTTGATTCCTACCCACCCCCCACCTCCAGGCTGGTGCTGCGGGAACCCCACCCCGAGTCCTCGGACCCCACCTGCCAGCAACATTTGTATTTTCTTGCTGTGTGACTGATCATTCTTCTCTTCCAACGTGTTTGACTTATGGGGTGTTTCTATTCTTTTAAGGACGTACCTTACAAATTAAAATATGCATACTTATTAAGTCTAACTTTAATGAAACCTCAAAGATAAATAATAAAACGACCTTCCTTTACTTGCTCCTGACTTACGCATAATGTTTATCTGGCATTTTACTTCCATATATATTTTAAGGCCCACTAGACATCACAATTCCTAAGTCTTGCGGTCGCTCTTCGTTTACATTTGCCAACATATTTGCCACTGTCTTCATCAGTCTTTCTTGTATCTCAAATCTTCCACCCGGGATCATTTACCTTCTGCCCAAAGTATTTCCTTTACGATTTCCTCTGGGGGCGCCTGGGTGGCTCAGTTGGTTAAGTGTCAGACTTCGGCTCCGGTCATGATCTCACAGTGTGCGAGTTTAAGCCCGCGTCAGGCTCTGTGCTGACAGCTCGGCACCTGGAGGCTTCTCCCGATTCTGTCTCCTTCTCTCTCTGCCCCTCCCCTGCTCGCAGTCTGTCTCTGTCTCTCTCAAAAATAAATAAACATTAAAAAAAAAATTTTTTTTTTAATTTCATCTAATGAGGGGTGCCTGGGTGGCTTCATCAGTTAAGCATCCAACTTCAGCTCAGGTCATGGTACCACGGTTTGTGGGTTTGAGCCCCGCATTGGGCTCTGTGCTGACAGCTCAGGGCCTGGAACCTGCTTTGGACTCTGTCTCCCTTTCTCTGTGCCCTTCCCCTCCCCCCGTCCCTGCTCACACTGTCTCTCTCTCAAAACTAAATAAACATTTAAAAAAAATGTTTTAGGGGCGCCTGGGTGGCGCAGTCGGTTAAGCGTCCGACTTCAGCCAGGTCACGATCTCGCGGTCCGTGAGTTCGAGCCCCGCGTCGGGCTCTGGGCTGATGGCTCGGAGCCTGGAGCCTGTTTCCGATTCTGTGTCTCCCTCTCTCTCTGCCCCTCCCCCATTCATGCTCTGTCTCTCTCTGTCCCAAAAATAAATAAACGTTGAAAAAAAAAATTAAAAGAAAAAATTAAAAAAAAAATGTTTTAATTGCATCTAACGAGTGTCTTCCTGGTGATAAACTTACTTTTACCGTATCTGAAAATGTCTTTATTTTTTACCCTGTTTCTTAAAAGCTGCCTTGAGGGGTGCCTGGCTGGCTCAGTGGAGCATGTGACTCTTGATCTTGGGGCTGTGAGTTCGAGCCCCACGTTGGGCCTATAGCTTACTCAAAAACTAAAACTAAAACTAAAAAAAAGAAAAAGAAAAAACAGTTGCCTTGTGAATTCTAACGTGGTACTTTTTCTTTTGGCGCTTTAGGAGATCCTTACGCCCCCTCGCGCTTTAGGAGATCCTTACGCCCCCTCCAGCTTTCTGTGAGTCTGACTGCTGTTCCTTCCAAGACAAGCCGACCTCCTCACCCTGCTGGCTGCTCTTAATATTTGTCCCTCGTCTTTACTGCTTTGCAATTTCATTATAATGCATCTATATGCAGATTTCTTTTTAATTTATTCTGCTTGGAATTTGCACTCATGTCATTCATCGGTTCTGAAAAAATCCAAACCATTATCTCTTGAATATTGCCTCTACCAGATTCCCTCTCTTTTCCCCTCTGGGACTGCAACCAAGTAGATGCTTCTGGTAGTTTTCTCTTGCGGTCAGAGTCACTACCATTCTTACCTGGAGATAATGTCGAGAAATGCCCCCAGGACCTCGATCATGGGCCTCAGGAAATGTCTGTTGAGCACACTCGAACACTGGGTAAATGTTTAATCTTTCCAAGTATCATGAATCACGAGCTGTGTGGGGTCAAAAGACATGTCATCAGAAAGAAGGGTTTTACCCACTTTAATGAGAAAGAGCTGAAGGAATTTAGCCTAATTTTACTGAGGCTTTGTAACGTTCCCCGACTGCCGATTTCCCTTGCTAGAAGGAGCCACCTTGGCCTGCGTTTCCTATCATTACCTAAGATGGAAGTACTTGCACATACAGTCAGTGAAATCCTAGTGAGTCATCCAGGAGGTTTCTCTGAGGGTGGTTTCTACAACAGCTCTGGACCATTTGACTGAGACTCTGAGAGACAGATGGCTTCCCCACCCCTCGGTGAACTTCCTTCCTCGGTTCAAGCTTTCTGTCCCTTTGGTGGCACCACACTCTGGCTCCCAAAGACATTTCTTCTTCTCGTTCTTTTGTTTTCTTAATCATTATTTGAGAGAGAGAGAGAGAGAGCAAGCACTCACAAGCAGGGGAGAGGAGCAAAGGGGGAGAGAGAGAGAGAGAGAGAGAGAGAGAGAGAGAGAGAGAGAGAGAGAATCTCAAGCAGGCTCCAGGCTCAGCAAGGAGCCCTGATCATAGCACACGCAGGCTGGATCCCACAACCCCAGGATCACGACCTGAGGTGAAATCAAGAGTTGGACACTCAATGGACTGAGCCACCCAGACGCCCCTCCCAGGGACATTTCTGAGATTTACAGCTGAGTAAACCGTGGCCCTGACACAATTACTTCTTGGGATTCAAGGAGCTCCTGGAAGATAACTGGATAAAAGCCTTTACAAATGACAGATCTTTTGGTGTCTGGGAGGTATTATTTCCTCTCTTTTCGGAACATTTGCAACTTACAAGATTGGAAAGTTGGCACTGTAGTGAGGCCTTTCTTAGACATCCTACTTCTTCCTTAAGATTTAAGAGAGAACAACTCTATAAATACTTAGAAAACCAAGATATTTCTGTTTTAAAAACAAATAACCATTTTTTACCCCAATTCTCTAGTGGGTATTGAGTGTTCTCTGCTTGGTTTGCCAGCAGGGTTGTTTAGTTGCTAGAGTTTAGATATGTTGCATCTTTGTCTCTCTGTAAATTAGCTGGAGGTCTGGTTAATGCAAGGACTTAGTGGTTATCAAATATGAACTGTGGCATATTTGAATAAGAATCCTTATTCTTGGATTACCTCAGTTCTGTTGCTTTAATCCTTTTTCTTTCTCCTCTTCCACTTGTTTTTCTTTTAAACAGGGTGTGGAGGAGTAAATACAGTCAACAGATTTAAAAAGAAGTCGCGTCACCCTTGGGGCACACAGCTGACCCCCATGGAGGTACTAATTCGGCTTGGCCAACAGGTGGCTGAGACAAGCAATCCCGTAGCGTCTCTTCACAGCACGGAGAGGAGAGAGAAAACTGGGGTGGTCAGGTACACCCCGCTCCACGTACAGCCTGGTTCTTCCTCCAACCCAGGTGCTCCAACACTCTGCCTTTGTAAGGTCGTCTTGTTAGGCTGAAAGGGACTTCTCACACAAGTCCCATTTGGTGGCCATTGCCCCAAGTTCAAGGTGTTACAAATGGCACTGACTACTCACTATGTAAAATGATACTGACCTTGGTGGTGACTTAAACGTAAAAGTCTAAATCCAGGATTTGGCTAAAGCATTTGTGTGGATTAGGAGAGGTGGAAGCAAGGTTCAGGTTATGCACCAAAGTCAGGAAGACGTTCTGTCCCAGACTTCCTGACCCAAAGCTTCCCTCTTCCTGCCGCTTCATTGTCCATTTGTTTGTTGATTCTGAGAATATGGGAAAAGCAGCAAGTGGAGAAGTAGCTTTTAGGATTAATAAAATTTGTGCTCTTAATGTCTGATTTGTCCCTAACTGTTGGGTCATCTTGGGCAAGTGACTTAACATCCGAGAGTCTCAGTTTCCTCAACTGTCAAATAATAACATTTTGTTTAGTGTGTGCCTAAAACCATTCTCAGCATTTTTGATACATTTAACACGTGTAGGGAAGACATTTTAAAAAATTTTTATTTACTTATTTGGAGAGAGATAGAAATATCATGAGCAGGGGAGGGGCAGAGAGGGAGAGACAGAATCCCAAGCAGACTTCACGCTGTCGGCACAGAGCCCAACCTGGGGCACTCGATCCCACAAACTGTGAGATGATGACTTGAGCCGAAACCGAGACTCAGAGGCTTAACTGACTGAGCCACCCAGGCACCTGGGGAAGACATTCTTACTATCCTTGTTTAACAGGTGAAGACATCCAGACTTTAAGGCACTCATTTATGGTAATATCACATCAACAGCGTGTAGCCAGGACTTAAACTCAGGTCTCTTTGTTGCTACAGCCTTAGTCACTAGGTTGCTAGAGTGGATTAAGTGATTTCTCTGATCAGTCTCAATTCTGAAGTTTTAGAATTCTATAATTTAACCCAAAAGTGAAGAGGGAGAAGATAAAGAGAAAGCAAGTTCAGGTAGAAGGGTTCTACCTAGAGGATTGGCCACCCTAGGCAAAGTCGGTCTTTATTGGCCTTTGATTCTGTCTCTAGGTAGAGAGAAGACGTTGGATGAATGGATGGTAGGCAGTCAGTCAAGAACTCAAGACAGAGCAGTTCTACTAACTGTCCAGGCTCAACAGCCACAGGAACCACCTCCCAACCTCAAGCTTCTTACAAGATCTTGGCCATGGGTTTGCTGTGCACTCCAGGTATCCCATCAGCAGGCTCTGAGGACACACTGAGACTGACATCACTCTAAGTGAAAGGCAGCTCCCACCCCCATTCCCAACCCAAAGTAAGATGGTTTTTACCTTGAAACTAATTATCAAAGGTTCTGCATTTAATTTTGTATTCACAAATTTGTATTCTTTTTCTTAAAGAATTCCCCCACATCTGCAAATTACGGAGGCTTCAGGTACTGCAAAACCTATACCCACTCTTGTCCTAACATATTTGTTAGGATGAAAATACTTTAAATAGATTGAAGTAGGGCTCCTGGACTTTAAAAATATGGAATTTTTTTTACGTTTATTTATGTATTTTTGAAAGAAAAAGAGAGAGTACACTCGAGCAAGTTGGGGAGGGGCAGAGAGAAGGAGAATGCCAAACAGGCTCATAGCTTTCACCATGGAACCCGATGCAAGGCTCGAACTCAGGAACTATGAGATCGTGACCTGAGCTGAAATCCAGAGTCAGGTGCTTCACTGACTGAGCCACCCAGGCGCCCCTGGAATTATTTTTAAAGAAATGCTGAATTCAATTGATTTTTCTAGACTCTTCAACGGCCAAAAAAAATTATATTCAGAAAAGTAACTCATTTGCTGTGTAGTTTTTACCAAACTGTGGTATGCTCTACTAAGGTTCTTCACTGCTTAAAAGATGACTCCAGTGTTTTCCTACCAAGAAAATGGTAGATACCTATGAAACTCTCATTTAATGCTGATCTATTGTCAATGAGTTTGTTGACAATGGGGTTGGTTAGTGGGAAGGTGGCTTTAAGTACAAATATTCCTCAAAAGAAAAATTTTAATTAGTCCCTTTGTTTTTAATCTTTAAATTAGCAACTATTAAAAGAAGCACCCAAATAGAAGGCAAGGAGTTTTTCTTCAAAAATTATCTTTCCCCCATGGGGCGCCTGGGTGGCTCAGTCCATTGAGCATCTGACTTCAGCTCAGGTCATGATCTCACAGTTTGTGAGTTCAAGCCCTGCGTCAGGCTCTGTGCTGACAGCTCGGAGCCTGGAGCCTGCTTCGGATTGTGTGTCTCCTTCTCTCTCTGCCCCTCCCCCACATGTGCTCTGTCTCTGCCTCCCAAAAATAAATAAATGTAAAAAAAAATTTTTTAATTATCTTTCCCCCAAAAAGATTTTAACTTGTGCTTACATTCCTATGAAGTCTCTCATATTATTAGTATTCTCTCAATTATTTTATCATGAAAAACAAAGTCCTCTTTAGAAAACACATGTTATCCTAAGAGGCTCTCAATCAGTGTTAGTTTTGGTTGCTTATAGAGATCAACTGACAAAGCTAATACCAAAAAATGCAAAAAGAAGCAAAACAGTCATTACTCTAGGATTGATGACCTCACATTTGCAAAGACTATATATATTTGTAAATAATTCATGATCAATTTGAAAGCCTCATAGCAAGTGTTAAAATTGTGGAGAATACAAATCTATACATATAAGTTGAATTTTTTAAATAGAAATGATCCTAATACTAGCTGAATGGATGTTAGAAGTCGGGGATGAACTAAATATCCCCCGAACCGAGAAGGCACTTTGAGACCAAAAAGCAATTTACACAAAATTTTATTCAGGGCAACCTACTGACAGGGCATCAGGTGGGCAATGATCTACAGCAGGTGCACAGCTATTCTTCACAAAATCCAGACCTTAGTCCAGAGATTATGTAGAGCAAGAGGACATGTAGAAGGGCACTGTCATGAGATCAAAGGGTTCACATGCACCTCAAAGGGCTTGCGTGCATCTGACAGCAAACCTTTAACTAGATCTTGGTCACCACCTGCTCATCAGGAAGGAGAACAGGTGTTATCTTTAACAAATTAATGTAAGGCCAAAACAAGCCTCCCCTAATCTCAGCCTTCATGGGCATTTCTCAGGTATGTATTAATCTCCAAGGGGCCTCTAAGAGGGGTCACTGAGCAAACATGAACAAAATGGCGGGCCAAAGATGGAGTCAGTATTGTCTGCATTCCTACAATGGATACTTGGATGTTGGGGAAAGTTTTCCAATGCCAACATCATATGTATATGAAGAAGCTGCATTTATCTAATACTCAGAAGGACTAAAAACTGTGTGCTCAGGAAAATCTGAAGATGATGTGCATAGTGTCTCTAGTGATCATGAAGTCACTGAGATTGAAGCTGCTGTGAACTATTTAGATAAAAATATTCCCTGAAAGGCGATTTCTTTCTTTTTTTTTTAATTTTTGAGAGACAGAGAGATAGAGCATGAGTCAGGGAGGAGCAGAGAGCGAAGGAGATGCAGAATCTGAAACATTCTCCAGACCCTGA